TTACAATTCCTACCAAATTAACCAGCTGTGATGAAACCAGATGAGGCTCAACACATCATAATAACAGGTCATCTTCCGCAAACAAAGCTCAAGGTTCCAGACTTCATTAAACAAAGTGTTATTTTAACAAGTACAACAAACATTTGGATTTTTCCCACTCCACCAGACTGTAGCATCACAACACAATTAGAAAGAGAGGGGAGGGGGGGAAGACCCTCCCCCCGTTACTTGCTAGAGTAATTACATTTTACCTTTGGATATCAGTAAACTAAATACTTATTTAAATTAGATTCCTTTCATCAATAGTGAAGCATTTCTTACAGAATCACAAACAACATTAACTTCACAAGTCAAAAAGAAACAAAAAGCAAGACAATATTCTCATAAATCCACACTTAAAAAAAAAATCCTACAACATTTTTCAAGAAAACTATATCCCAAAGCAAAGTTATACAGAAGAGCAGAAGAAAAATTCAAACAACAGAGGAGAGAGTTTCAAATCAGATTCAAAAACAGGCAGAGGCAACAGATTATCCAAAGAGATGCCAAAAGGCTGTTTCAAAAACATTGCTGCAGACAGAGCCCCTAAGCATTAAGCTGCAAGTTTGGAACAAGTCCAACAAGACTATTCTTGATTTAAGCTTTCAATGATGTAATATTAAAAATAAGTAGAAAAAACACCTACAAAATTAATTACCATCTTTCTTTTTTTTATATATGTGTATATACATATATATACACATGCATCTCAAGATAATAGCTGTGTCAGCATCAGTAAAAATATACACACACTGCTGAAAACTCCATTATGCTGAAGAAACAATTTATGCATAGATTAAATACAAAAATTAAAGGGTAAACTCTCAAGGTTATAAAGACATTGTTTTAATCACACAGTATAAGTCAACCATGCGTGTACCTAAGATTCTTTAGATAAGAGTAACCTTGAACTGCGGTCTTCAGTTATTTCACCAATAACCTTGACCAGTGTTCCCATGGTATCACATGCAGAAGAGCTTGATTACGCCAACTTCAATTGCATAACGACCCTAAAAGTGTTCTGTTTATTACCCAGGAATCTGATAATTTATCCACTCTGGGGTCAATGCTATTAAATACCCTTTATAATTGATTTGGGAAGAAAACAGTGGCTGGCAAAATTGTCAAAGGAAAAAAAAAAATTGAGCAAAAAATAGAGACAAACCAATAAACTGTTCATGATAGTTTGGTAAACTGGGCTCATTTGAATATGTGCCAGGTCAAATATCTGAAACAAGATGTACACAACTCTGAAAAAGTGATTCTGAAAAAAGGCAGGAAGAGGAAGACGGTGGGGGGAAAAAAAACAGCCAGTGGAATCATGCTTCTAATGGGATATAGCAGCAAACAATCCTTTTTTTTTTTTTTTTTAAATGAAAAATGCACGGTAAGATTAGGGAGGCAACATTATCTATATTCTCAGCAACAATCTCACAAAAACCCAGGCATAGCGCCTACTCTTTCAAAATGCAAACCTAAAACTCAAAGGTGAATCACAGAAGAACTACTGCAATCGTAACATTCGTATAATACGTTTTAACCAAGAAGATTTGGATTCAGATCAGTGTTGGCATTAACTTGATCACTTTTTCTAAGAATTTTTATAGGGGAAGTACTTCTGTTGTGAAAGAACGCTAATTTAGGAGACAAATGCTTAAGATCTGATAGTTAAAACCTCAGCTAAATTCAGACTGGATGTAGTAAGCCTATTGAACCAGCATATTTAGCCACAGCAGCAATTGTTAAAAGCACAAGTCTTGCTTCAAGTCCAAGCGATAGGAAGTTGACAGAGATGCATCAAAAACTCTGAGGAATGCACCTCCAGGATAAAAGTGTATATCCTACTATTGCAACTTCGAGGCAATTTTACAGCTTGTGCTGTAGCTGATCAAAGTATAGTAACCATTGTTTGGTGTCCAAACACCTAAGTTTATCTGCATTACAACAAGACAATGTGAAATTACAATAGATCAATGCAGAAAGATATTTATGCTTTAAAAGCAAATTTGTGGGAAAAAATGAATTTAACACAAGCAATTTAAATTGAATACCTATGAGCAATGAAACAGTGAATCATTCAATAATAATGCACAACAGTTTTGAACACATTGAGTAAACCGAGTCCAACTTTTAAGATGCTGCCAATCCATGCTGTTCAATAAATCAGGATAACGATTCTGACAATAAGCTTTAATAAGTGAATTTTCTCTGCCTGCATATATTCTTCACTTTTAGTTAGGTGCCACTAACAGACCTCTTGACTGCTCTCCTATCTCATTTTAACCAGCAAAAGCATATCCTGAAGTTGCAAGCATACTCTTGCAAATTTCAGCACCTCCTCCTCCCTCAAAAGACAACCGCATGCATACACAACACAGCCAAGTGTTTTCATATTTTTTAAAAAAAAGTAATAAAGTCAACTCCATCTTCAAATAGTACTGAAATATTAAGCTAAGTATTAGACGCTCTGACAGTTTTCTTCCATAGAAACATTTTACAGGATTCACAAAACCTGATTATTTTCCCCTTAGGCTGGTAGCATATCCCTAACAGAGCTTGACTCAAACACGTGATAAGGACACGAGTCTACACAAGCCTATATTTACCTGTCAACTAACAGTAGCTAATGCCACCAAAACCTTTCCATTGCATCTTAAATACAAAGTAAATAATTGTCAACAAAACTGCTTCAAGATAGAACTAAGGGCACTGGACAAAAAAACACACTCTTTTTTTGTTTTCTTTGGGGGCTGGGAGGAAAGTCATGTTTAATGAAAATTCTGCAGGATGAGACTTCCTTAACAGCAGGTTTACAACAGATGAATGTCTCCTCTGTTAAGTTTACAGTCAAACAAGACTCTCCTCTCTAAAGCACAAAGCTCAAGGATATCACACGCAAAGCAACACTCATAGTGGTAATAAGGAGCAACAACCATGCAAATAACGAATACTACAAACTCAAATACAAGAATTTTTAAATCGAACTAATAAACTAAAACCACAATCTTAACCTCAAGCTTCAAGTATCATTCAACAGAACAGACAACGACAAATTTAAGTATATAGCTTCTAAAGAAGAGTTTAATTCTAAACAAAATTGTACTTAGAATTTAACAGTTAAAAAAAATCCATAGCCTCTGAAATAATTGTTTAGGTGATGCAAGACTTGAAAAAGACCAAGAATGGTTGATTACACCGTTCCTTTTCCTAAAAGCAAAAAAAGCCTTAAGAATTCAGGAAGCCGAGATCCAAGGCCAAGAAGCTGGCAGGATATATACAAATTATTGCCACAACCAGTTTTTTTTAATTCTAGAAGGCTAACAGGTATGTTGGGAGTAGGAGGGGGAAGCAGCATGTTAAGTTCTGGCTTGTATTGTCAGGAAAGACCAAAGCAAGAATTTTTGCCACTGCCAACTTTCACATATCAGGCAAAGATTAAAGAAATGGAGATTCATACAGCAGGGGGGCTAGGGGGAACTGGTTTTCACACCTGTTTATCACAATCAACATTCATTTCAGAAAAAGTGCAAGTGAGCAGCTTAAGCATATTAAAAAGATATCCTTTACTCAACTCTCCCCACCAAACCTATGAAATACTTTTAAGCAAAAAATTGGTAGTTCATGAAGTTATACGGACAATTAAACCAACCTAAGCCACTTCCTGACGTTACCTCCGTTTTACCCTGCTCCTGATGTTACAATACCAGAGGCTAAACTTCTGATGTGCTTTCGGTTGGTCGGTTTAAGGAGAACACAGTTTTCCTTCCTCAATATTGGGTCTTACATTTATACTTAAGAGTACAACAGCTAAACCATCCATCCCATCTCTAACATTATCTGTCTCGTTATAGCTGAACATATAATGATGCATTTCTTCCATTACCTGTCTCTGAAACATAAACAACAGGATCCTGCTTTAGAACTTTACCAAGTTTTGAAGTAGCTGCTTTTTTCTCAGATGGCTTCTTGGATTTTTTCACTGACTGCACCTCCTCTTCTGAATCTGTATTTTGACCACAGCATAAATAGAGATTTCCTCCATATACACAGAGACTTTAAGTAACAGACTTTAAGCAATAGATCAAATAACATCAGTTAACATGTGTTAAAATACATTCAACTGATTGAGAAAAAAATACTGTATGTAAGGTCAGAGCATAGCCTCGTTTTTTCCCCATCAGCTAATAGCCTAACCATCATTTAGGCCAGCACATACAGGACTAAATGAAAATTTGTCCAGAACTCAGTCTAGTCTGGGGGGGGGGGGGTTGTTTTTTTTTGTTTTTTTTTTTATTTAAAAAGAAATACTTTGCTTAGAAACCTTTCTGAAAACATGAGTGCAACTGTCACAGAATTGCAACAACAAAACATTTTTACATACATTCATCAGCCTGAACTTACGTGCTTACACAGATTGTATTATGCTGGTCAATATACCTGATCCAAAAATCTATTAACAGGCTAAAACAGATCACCATGGTTGTACTCCTGTTTTTCAAGGGGACACTGGTAGACTACTATTTTCATTGCCATTTGTCCTTTTAACTACTACTGTGAGATGGAGAAACTACAGCACTGAAGATTACATATACCAACATCCAAATGAATAAATAGGACAGAAACTGAAAAGCTGAGAGAACTAGCATGGGTTAACAGATGGCTACTCTTCAGAGCCTTTTTCTGTGGTATACACTGATATATCTGTAATTTTTTTTTTGTTTGTTTAAAACAAACAAAAAAACCCTGATGGCTACAAAGTCATACCAACACACTCATGTTTTTCAGTCTGTGAGAAG